AACAATTTTAATAATAATAATAATAATAATAATAATAATAATAATAATAATAATAATAATAATAATAATAATTTATACTTATAACAGCATAAATTATTGAAAAGTAAAATTATTTAATTTTATATTTAGGGAACTAAATTTTACATTTAGGTAAAAATAAACAACAACAGTTAATATTATTATTAATTAAATATATATTATTGATATAAATTTATAACGATTTTTAATAATTTATATATTAAATTATTATATACATAATGTGATACATAAAAGGTGTTATAGTAGCAGTTGTCCTTGACCTTAGTTCGGTATATAACGGTACAAAAATGAAAAAGACACGAGATTAAAAATAGTTAAAGAAATTCTTTATGGACATATTGGCAAACCTTAAACAATACTCTTCTTTTAAGGTACTTGATAACTCAATTTAATTATTATTAATAATAACGTCATTGTTTTTTTTTTTTAAATTAAATTAAATTAAATAAAATTACGTAAGTTATTTAATTTTTTTTTTTTTTTTTTTTATCAATTTAAATAATTTACTAATTACAATTTTAACTATTTATGAATTTTGAATGTGACACAATTTAAAAATTTATTTTTAATAATAATTTAAAAATAATAATAATAATTAAAAATTAATTTTAGAATTGAAAATATAAAAAGTAGGATTTTCAACCGTTATACTTGATTTAAAAAAAAAAAAAAAAAAAAAAAAAATTTTTTTTAAAGAGTTAATAATAATACTTTTAAAAGAACCGTTGGTTAAACATATAAAGAACGGATTTACCTGATTTTAAAAGTCCAAAACAAAAAGTTGTTGTTGGACATGATTAATTTTTTTTTATTTATTTATTTATTATTATTACCTCATTGTATAAAATTAATCATGTTTTTTTTTTTTTTATATAAAATAAAATGACTGTTTTTTAAAATTTTATTTGTTTTCTTAGAAAAAAAAACATGTTTCTTTATAATTTTTATTTCACGAATTAAAATAATTTGATGATCATTATTAATATTGTCATTGATATTTATTTTTAATAATTTATACTTGCTCTAATTTTTTTTTTTTTACTTTCACCTTGTGAACTTGACCAATTTTTTAATTAAATGTTATTATTTTGCACCATGAAAAAAAAAAATAATAATAATAATTTGTTTTTTTATATATTATATAAATAATAAAATCAATAACAACAAATAAATTTTTGTTATTATGATGAGTAGTAGCTCAAAGATAAATTTTCTTTTTAAAAAAGTTAGTTTTGATTTTAATGAAATTAATTATTTAAATACCTTGATAATTATTCAAAGGAAAATGTTTTTTTTTAGAAAAAAAAATAAAGTTTGTTATTAAGCCCCCTGTAACATTGACATAGAAACAAAAAGTAGCTCTTTTCAGAGAGTGAGAGAGTTTAGAAAGACAGTAAACCAGTTAACTTGTGTCTGCTTGTGTGAAAAATATTCTCGGTTCGGGTATTTTTTTTTTCCAAAAATTATTGTTTAATATTTTTTTTAAAACATTTTGTTTGTTTTTTGTTGCCCCCCCCCCCAATATTATCATTTCATTCAAATCAAATTTTGATTATATTTTGTAGGTAGGCTTTGTTTTTAATATAAAAAAAATTTTTTTAAACAAAAAATTTTCTTTTTTTTTAATTTTTTTTTATTTTTTAACTTGTTGAAATTTTTTTTTTGTATTTTAAATATTGTAAATTGGTTGTTTTAAAGTGTAGAAAAAGAAATATTATTAAAATTTATTTAGAAAAAATTTTTTCTTTGAATAATTTTCATTTTAATATTTATAATTACTTAAAAACTTCAAGTTATAAATACTTTTTACTATATATATATATATTTTAAATTTTAAACAATTCTTAAAATAATATTTATAAAAACATGAGATAAATTTATTTTCAACAAGGGAAAATTTTTAAATATTTTTTAATATCTTTTAATATTATCATAACTCAGAAAAAAAAATTCAATTTCAACTTTTTCTTTTCTTTTTTTTATTATTTAAATTAAGAATAATTCGTGTGAAATTTTTTTTCATGGAACCCCCTAAAAATGATTGACTTATATAGAATTCGGTATTACCTATTGAAATTGTTTTTAGAAAAATAATAATAATAATAACAAAAACAAAAAACCGTTCTACATTTTCATTTCCTCTGTTCTGAAAAAAATTTAATGACACTCATAAATTTCACTAAAATAAATTACTGAATTGAAACATTTAGAATTTGTTTTTTTTTTTTTTTTTGGTAAAGAAAAAAGAATTTTTGAATAATTAAAATTACGTTTTACGAAAATTTAATCAAGTTATTAATTAAATGGTGAAAAAGGGATTTAGGGATTTTATTATTATGGTAATAATAATAATAATAAAAGGATTAATCGTAATTATTAATTTATAAAAAAAAATTTATCAGAATTAAATTTAATATCAGCATTTTCTACATTCCGGTTTTCGCTGACAAAGATGATATGAAATTTTTTTTTTTACCATAAATTTATCTAAAACTTTTCCGCCTTAATAAATAAAACTTGAACGAGATTATTTAATTTTATTAATATTATTACTATTATTATTGTTATTATTATTATTATTTTTTTAATAAAGCAAACGCATCAACCGAAAATTTATTTTCGGTGTTAATTAGCGAGATCGTTTAAAAAATCATTTTTTTTGATTAAATTATTATTATTATTGTTGTTGTTAAACGAATAGTCATGTTTGCGTACAGGTACGTTGTACGAAGAATTAATTAATAATAATAAAGAGGAAATAGTTGTAATAATAAAACATTTGTTTATATTTTTTTTAGAACGCAGTAAAATGAAAAAATCGACACGAGAGGAAATAATAATTGAAAATTTATAAAATTCGTTACTTCCTGTCCATATTTAACAGTACAAAAGTTCGTTTTAATAATTTTATCAAGTGAATAAAGGTAAATTTAATTTTTTAAATAACAACAACAATGATTTACGGTTTTTTTTCGTACCTGAAATTATCGTAAATAATTATTAATCGTATTGCGTGATCGTCAGGAATGTTTTTACTTAAAATCATTTTTTTTTTGTTTTTTTTTTTTTTTCCAGGATGTCGGTTTTACTGTCTTTGGTAAAAAATTTATTTCCTTATTTAATAATTTTAATATTATCGAAAAACTATGCAACTGGCCGTGAAGTTTTAGATTCGAAACATAAACCTGATGATAGGTACATAACCGAAAATTATAAATCACCATTTGATTCTAATTCGCATGGTAAGTACAAAATTTACACTTTAATTATTATTATTATTATTAAAATTATTTTATTTGTGAGAAGGTTAATGTTTATTTTTTTTATTAACATTTACGTGACTAAACAAAAAAAATTTTTAAATAACTCATTACGTTTCGTTTTTTTTTTTTAGTCTGTACAAAACTTTTAAATATTTTTGAGAAAAATCAATTTAAGATTGAGGATTTATTCCAGGTTTCGATGGGGTACCCATATCTCACGGTTCAAACGATCAAAAACTTGAATTTAAATATCACAATTATGAAAAATTAACAAAATTTTTAAGAATGACTTCATCGAAATATCCAAGTTTAACTGCACTTTATTCAATTGGAAAATCCGTTCAAAACAGAGACTTGTGGGTCATGGTTGTATCATCATCTCCATACGAACATATCATAGGAAAACCAGATGTTAAATATGTTGCTAATATTCATGGAAACGAAGCAGTAGGAAGAGAATTGATGCTGCATCTTATTGACGTAATGTATTTTTTTACCATTCGACTAAAAATATCATAATTGACGTTTATATGTGTTGTAAGGGCGGTTGTAATTTTTTTTTTTTAAACACGTAGTATCTCGTTCAAAATTACAATACGGATCCATACATAAAATGGTTATTAGACAACACGAGAATTCACATAATGCCATCGATGAATCCCGATGGATTCGAAGTAGCAAGAGAGGGACAATGTAATGGTGGTCAAGGACGTTATAATGCCAGAGGTTTCGATTTAAATCGTAATTTTCCGGATTATTTTAAACAAAATAATAAATCACCACAACCGGAAACGGAAGCAGTCAAAGAATGGATTTCAAAAATACAATTTGTACTTTCTGGAGGCATTCACGGTGGTGCTTTAGTTGCTAGTTATCCGTTTGACAATACACCGAATTCCAGTAAGACATATTTTTTTTTTTTTTTTAAATAAATTGATGGAAATTGTTTTTTTTTTTTTAAACAAAAGAATTTAAAAAAAAAAAATTTATTTTGTAAAGGAATATGCCGCTCTTCTCCTCTTTGTTCAGGTAGTAACCATACATTAATTCATTCATAATTTTTTTTCTTTCATTTTATTAACACTTAATATCCGATTAAATAATTTTTAATTTTAAAAATCAAAGAATATTTTTTTTTTAGTGTTTCAGAGTTACTCTGCTTCACCATCGATAACACCCGACGATGACGTTTTCCAACATTTATCATACACATATTCTAAAAATCATTTGAAAATGAGTAAAGGAACTTCGTGTAAAGCCGGATCTCCAAGTTTTTCAAAAGGAATTACAAATGGAGCTGCTTGGTATCCTTTAACAGGTTAAATTTTTCCTTTCCCCCCTCCCCCCCACGGTTTTATTAAATTTAAAGTTTTAATGTCCGTTAATCTTTTTGAAATTTTAGGGGGCATGCAAGATTTTAATTATGTATGGTACGGATGTATGGAAATCACTCTTGAACTTTCCTGTTGCAAATATCCTCCAGCATCAAGACTTCCACAATTTTGGGAAGATAATAGGGCATCATTGATAAAATTTTTAGCGGAAGCTCATAGAGGAGTTCATGGTTTTGTCATGGACGAACATGGAAATCCGATTGAAAAAGCTTCTCTCAAAGTCAAAGGACGTGATGTTGGATTTCAAACTACAAAATATGGAGAATTTTGGAGAATTTTACTTCCAGGATATTACAAGCTTGAAGTAAATAAAATTTTTAAGTATATTTTTTATTTTTTTAAATGATTAGTTATTTAAAATTATTTATTTTTTTTTCTAGGTTTATGCTGATGGTTATCATCCACGTGAACTCGAAGTCGCAGTAGTCGAACAACATCCAACTCTCGTTAACATCACATTACATCCATCAAAGGTAAAAATTCTTCTTTCTTCGATTTATTCGAAGATAAATGTGACAAAGGGAAAATTGGTGTGGGAAGAAATAATAACGGAAAGTATTCCGACATATGAATTTAACGATTCATCGCATACTTCTTATTCTGAAACTCCATTTTTAATTGCTGTTTCTGACAAAATTTCTTACACAACCGAAGACAATCAAGTGCTTAATAATTTCTGGGGTTTGCGGTCTTTAGCTAACACACAATTTTATTTTTTTAATTATTCATATATTATTAAAATTAATTTTTTATTATCAATCACGTTTTTATCAAGTGAAAAAATACATTTAAATTATATATAATTATTTTTATTCGGTTTTCATTTATGGTCCAATGACACATATATATATTCTAAAAAAAAAAATAAAAAACATTGAATATTTATTTATTTATTTATAAGCAAGAGACAATCTAAAAAACTTGCCACAAGTTATTATAATAATAATAATATTTTTTATTATCCAAAAAAAAAAGTACCTGTTTTATTAGTTTTTAAATTCACATTTCATAATAATAATAATTCCTTTTATTATTTTTTTTAAGTAAAATTTATTATAAAAAT